ACCCCTGGCAATCCCACAGGGACCCCAAGCTGACATGACTATTTTCTGTTGTCCAGATTTCCTGCCCACATTTCCTTCCCCATATGGGAAGCCAATAGAAACAGTCTGTGCCGTCAATTTCTTGTGATTCAAAGCTGGAGAAAGATGGGTTTTATATCTGCAAGGGGAAGGGCAAGCCTAGGTCACACGAGTCAAAGCCCATTTCCAGTCTGCTGATTCTACCCTCTACGTAAATGTTACCAGAAATGTCTGACTCTTGAGCAGAGCTGTAAACAGGGAAAGGAAAAACAAAAAGCAAAAAATCTGATCTAAAGAGAAAAGTTTAAAAAAAGAAAAGCAATTTGCTTAAAGCTTCTAAGTCAATTCCTTTCCTTCTTAAGCACATAATACCTACAATAGTTGCTTGATAGTGTTGTGCAGAATATTATATTGGATAGGTGATAAAGTCTCCACATAGGAAATTATGTTTTATTGTGAAGACAATCTATTCCAAAGCATTCTGCACTGGAGAATGCTGACTCCAACTTTCCTGCTTTGAAGAATACTCTTCAGTACATTAAAAGCCAATTTTTAAAGTGTTGCATCTCAAGATATTAAGACTATGAAATTTAAGACAGGAATACATATAAGAAACTTTCAAAAGTAACATTAATAGAATTTGGTGATTGACTGAGTGTAGGCATTAAGTTAGAATGTGGAACCCTTAGGCTCCTAACTTAAAGAAGAATGTGCAGAGCCTACTCTACAGTGTGAATATTTCATGCTGAGATTTAACTGCTGTTGCAACACCAGTGAGAGATGGGCTGGTGGGGTAATTAAGATTAAATGAGCTCATGACAAGGGAGCCCCACATTAGGGTTGCTGGATTTTAATCCTATAAGCAGTGAAACACCAGCCGGGAACTCTGTGTGCTTTCCATGGATGTCTTCCACTGTGCCATGTCCAGCAGAAAAGTCTTCCAAGACACTAGGAGGTGCCTGTAGCCCACTTTTGGATGTTGCAGCCTTCAGAACAGTGAGCTCCCAAATTTCTCTTCTTTACACATTAGCCTATCTGGCTAAGGAGAGACGTGGAGAACCGCTCAACTGGAAGTATACAGAGCATGATGTGTCACATGAGTGCACAGTGTAGGGATGCAGTGAAACTGGCTATGAAAGAAATCAGACCAAGACGAAAAGCAGAACAGAGATGGCCGAGGATGGAGGCGCTAACAACATTTTGAGAAATCACATCTCTTTCCACTTCTAGTCACCAGACTCTACACTTCATGGGAACAGGGACTTCGCCGGTCCTGCTTATCGCTCTATTTTTATAGCAAGTGTGGTGCCTAGATCGTGGTAAATTCTCGATATGTATTGCTGCACAGAGGAGCTCAATCTGGCTGAAATGGAAGAAGATCTCGTGTAAGAGGTGGAGTAACTTGCGGACCAAATCATGCCACAAGATCCTCCTACCTAGACCACTTTCAGAGCTCACTACTGAATTCAAAGTTCCAGTTGCTGCCTGAGACGTTACACTATATCTTCATCCTTTGATTTCCTCGGTTTTTAAATTCATTTTAATTCCTGTATTTTCATTTTTAATGAAATGAATATTTTAATCATATTGAAAGTTATCAGCACCTAACAGAATGCAATCTCAGACCCGTGCACCAAAAACCCAAGAATGCTTTAATGGACTGTGAGGCTTATGGGTCTCTAAAGCAGGGGTGGCTACCAAGACAGCACCCACAGGCTGTTCGTGTGATGCATGGTCTTACAAAGGAAGGCAGTTTGTGGAGCCATAAAGCTCATCGTGGATCTTTCCTGGCACTCAGCATCATAAGGCAGTGTGTGGTTGATGCTGCTCGCATGTGCCGTTGCATCTTCCTCTGGGTTCTGACAAACTGCACATCGCCTTGGAATCACTTGGGGTGCTCTGCAAAAATGCAGATTGCTGTCCTCACTCCTGAAGACTCTAATTCAGTAGGGTGGGTGCTGAGGATTTGCACCCCAATGAGTCCCAGGTGACACTAATGCAGCTGTTTCAGAGAACACATCTCACATCTCAAAGACCAATGGAAAAATGAAAAAAAATTAAAACCCGACAACTACAGGAATTAAACCGCCTGTGCACTCTGAGTCTTAGGGTGCATTAGCATGGAATGTAAAAGTTCTGAATGAACAAGAAAATTAAAAATTAATGATTCTGACAACGGTGTAACAAATCCCCGCCCCCCCAGTCAGGGGTTTATGAAAAAATTAAAGAAAACTTTACTGTGACATCAACTGAGATGTAATTGAAAATAGAGTCTGATAGATCAATCACTAAGTGACTTTTGGCGCTAAGTCAGAAACTGCTTTATAATTTGGGTGGCATTGCATAATAAAACCATCATCTCCAGCTGCTTGTTTGTATAAACAGTTTTCCTAGTGTTTATGTGTATAAAAACAGGAATAGAACATGCTCATCCATGCCACATTCTACTGTTACCTAATATTTATCCATGGAAGTCATAAACTGGGAAAAGCAACTCTGCTCAGATCTTTGAGTTATAAATTATAACAACTTATAATTTATACATTCACTTTCAAATTTTATGACTTTCTATTGTTTTCATCTATTCTACATCACCAAATTACAGTGAATCTCAGTTCAAGAAATTAACCTTTATCGATTAAGTTCATTATAAAAACTAATTTGCAAATTTCAAATGTAAATTATGACCCATGCATGTTTGATAGCTTAATCAAAGTAAGTTTCAAATCCATAAATGTTTAATATTATAATATTTCATGGAAGGAGTGAAAAAAATCATCCCAAAGATGAGAAAACTGCAAAATTTCTGGCTGCTAAAAAGAGAATTTTTGTTCACATATTCCTTGAAAGGACAGTGGTGTGTACATATGAAACACTAAGTTCTGCCAAATATAATTTTGAAATGATGTTATATATTTATTTTAGAATAGTAATGTTTGAAATATGCCCCAAATAACATTCTTTATCATTGTTTATGATGAAAAATATTTTCATTGATAACTTAAAATCTTTGAGGCACCTATTTTTAAAATTTTCTTTAAGAATAAACACCATCGAAAATCATTTAGAATAACTGCCTAGGGCAGTAAATTTGAATCCTTGGCAAAGATCATTTGATGGACTTGAACAAAATTCTGAATTAAATTCCAATTAAAACTCAGACTGTGCTTATTCTGTGAATATCTCAACAAAAATTATTATTGTACTGTTTTGGCATTTGCTCTTTCTTGTTCAGCTGGGACCCAAACATACAGAAATAATAAATAATGAGAAAAGATTGTACAGTCCTGAATGACTCATTCAAGGACCTTTGTAAACTTTCTGTTTAGACTGGTTTTACAAATGAATTGTTTGGGTGAATTTTTCTGGTTTGTTTAGCAAATGAAATCTGCAGTACAGAGAAAAGAAAAATGCACAAATATTGGTATTCGCACCTCACAGTGACCCTCTCTCTGAGGAAATTTATCTGCATTTCTACAACCACAGACCATGAAAAGAAACAAATTAAAAATAGACACAGAGTCTACTTGACATTTTTAAACTTTATCTAGAATGCATTTCCCTTCTTTGAAGCTTTTCTTGGGAAACAGTCATGAGCAAAATTAACCAAGAACATTTTTATAATTTATTTTTCTATCAATACCCAAATCTCTAAAGTTCATTCTATATGATGTATGCTTTCTGAGCAAACAGACCATGGGCTAATCCAGTTCCTGCTCCTTTATACTGAAAACTTTCTGACGGTCAACAAAGTTCTACTTACTAACACAGTAAAATGACACATCTCTCCCTGTACAATCTCTTATCTCTCGTCAGGTGTCCAGTTCAGCTACCCCACACATCCTCTTCACTTCAGTGGTCCCCTGTGGCAGGGCCATGGACCTCCTGTAATGTGTCAGAGTGTGCAATGCATGGAAGCTGACTATGAGTAACACACTTCTCCTTAAGCTTCCCACTCTGATCCTGTACTCTGAACACCCTCTATCTTTCACTATAAGCACCTAGATCAATCAATCAATCTTAATGAAGAAAGGAGCATCTCTGCAAGTAACCCAGATTCTTATGTACTTCCTTGGATTACTTCTAGTTAGCAAGTGTAAAAGAAAAGACAGACCGCATAATGACAGAAATAGCTCCAAAAAAGAAATGAATTTCTTCTTTTCTATTTGTGCCCAACTCCCTGGGTAGCATTGATACTTCACGAAAGAAACCACAAAATAATTTTCAGCCCAACTTTGTGCTTTATTGCCATGCGACTATGAGGTATAGAATGGATTTATTCTTTCAGATCATCTATAAAGATACTGAAATAAATGAGCTCTCAAACAATTCCCATGCAATGAATTCTGTATAAAAACTGTGGGCAGAATCTATCTAGTTCATTCACTGCCTAATCCTCAGGGCGTAACTGTGCCAGGCACATACAAAGTACCTAACAGATAGTGAATGAATAAAACATGAAGAAACGATTGGATAGCTAAATGGATGAGAATTTGACTTTTTTATCTCTTGATAATTAGGTATGATTATCTAGACAGTAAACTCACCTGCTAAATGTATACCAATCAGGGAACACATTATGAAAACACCATGCAAGGTCTCGAAAGGCTTCTGCTTCCACCAGAGACCAACTATGTAACCTTTCAAGAAATAACCCGAGCTCTCTGCATCTGACCCTTCATCAGACAGTAGATAATGAATGTATAACACCTGGCCTGGTTAAAGGGAAACATCCTGTAACGTGAACAACAAATTTTCATATTTCCTACTTCTTTCAGATTTGAAATCAACACAGTACAGAGATGAAAACATTACCAAGAGTTAATATGTCAGCTTTTGCAGGTATACAGGTAACCCCTTGACTGTAATAAATTCATTTCACCCAAGCCATGGCTTGTTTTCCATGATGGAATCAGGTTACGAAAGCGTTGGTACACATTTAGGTTTAAATGTTGTAAATAACCAGACAAGTCACAGTGTAGTAAAAGAAGGATTTTAGGTTTCTTTGGTGGAACAAAAGCAGATATAAAAAGTTACAAAGATTTTAGATTTTCATTCACAAAGAAAAATCATTCACATTTTACACTATACATGTTATAAATACAGGAGAGGGTTATGTGCATCGGAATGAAAAAGGAGGAATAAAGACCTAGGAAGCCCACATGGTGTTTGCACATGCGCTGCTACACCTGAGGGCGGGCACACTTCACGAGGGCACCAAGGGGGCTCCCGCAATATACTGCGTGCGATGGTGAGCTCCAGTTCTCCTTCAAGGGCAGAGGAGGTTTCATGAGAGTCCACGTCGGGCCAACCTGTCTGCTCTTTATCTAGTTTTCTTTCTCTTTCTTTAAAAAAATTTTTTTAAACTGTGAATGGATACATAAGCACACAAAATCACCCTTAACTGTGCGTATCCTGGGATGTTTCAGTCCTTGTGAACCCTGTGTACCGTTTAACTCGGGTTAAACACCCCTCTCTCCAAGCATTTATCATTTCTATTTGCGTTTGATTTGTCATCTATGCTTCCTGCTTTCTTTGCACTACAGAGTTTTCTTTAACCGTTAAATTAAGTGGATCATGATTCAAAAGTCAACTTCAGCAGTCTGTTTATTCAAATAGAAGGGAGAAAATAATGGGAAGAGTTGAGGACAAATTTCAATACATACACTGCACCTATCGAGACGAAACACCCAGGCTAATCCTACACAGAAACCTTGTGGAGAATGGCCAAAGGCCACTTGCCCAAAGCTACACACTTGTCCACTCTTTCCTTAATTAGCACTTAACGTATTCTATCCATCACATTATTTAATCAGGGACAAAGTACCTACATTGTATGGTTCCAAACCGTGTGAGCAAAATACAAAGCTAACACTGAAAAATTCCTAGCGTACTATATCCACGTTCAGGTCTGGGGGAAATAACATCCAATAAATTAAATCAGTATGGCTTACTTCATTTATTTATGTATGCTTCACAGCTGCAGCATTCATACATGAACATTCAAAACTTTATAAAAGATTAAAATGGTTATATATACAAAATTTTTTTTTCTGCTTTTTTGCATGTGTGTTGTTCTAACAATTCCCCTCCCTCCTGAGCCCTCGGTCTCTGTCCATCAAAAATGTCTTGATTCCCTATGTAATCTTACCAGAGTTATTGTTACAAAAGCCATTAGAAAGTAGACCTGGTTGAGTTAATAATTAGCACTTTGTCCCCTTTAAAAAAATGCTTCTGGTCATAGAAAAGTCCTCTGTGCAGGCCTTCCACGTAAGCTGAAGGAAAAGGATTGCAGCAATGGACGCCATGCCAGAGCCCTCCGGCTTCGGCATCATGCAGAAGCGGATGGCGCCTGTGGCTGAGACACGCAGTGACCAAGATTGCGTTTGCTACTTGTCCAGGAAAAGCTGTCCCGCTGCCAGCCAAAGGGCAAATGAAAACCATCTCCAACCTAAATGAACTACCCCAAAGCAGCCGAACCAATGATTAAAGACCTTGAAGGCTCCATAATCATCATTAAATATGCCCGAATTCAGTGTGACTTTTTAATTTATATACAGGCGTAAAATCAACATTAAATCATCTTATTTACATGGCCACCGGTGCTGACATGGAGCTCTTTAAATAGTACAGTAGGCTGGTAGACGTCACGAAATGATCCGTGCCAGAGGCAGAGAGTGCGCTAGCGACACGAGACAGGCTGGAAATGGTGACTTTCTGCCCTCGTTTTCTTTTGTCTCATTTGCTTTCCTTTCGGATGCCCGTACTTTCATTTAAAAATGCTTTGGGAGCACAACAACCCCACATGACCGGACGGTGGTCCACAAATCGAAACCAACTGATTAACACTTCTCAAGGTGGTAGGAAAGGCACAGGAAGTTAGGACTTTGGCTGAAAAGATGAAAACCTATGTTTGCCCTTTGAGGAATCAACGCCTGGACTCCTGCCACCTCCGGCTCCAGCGATGATCGTGTTTGGATGTGTTTACTGAATTGTCCTTTGCTGATGAGGAATTTTTAAAGTATTTCTTAGAATAAGTCCTTTGGTATGCAGATGCTACATGAAAGGAAAGAAAGAAAACACAACAACATTACTTGCTCCATACCCTAAACTCTGATACCAAAGCCGCAAAATGAGGATGGCTAGAAGTGTTTATAGCATGGTTGTCCGTTCTTTCTAAAGGACCACTTACGGTTCATGCAGGTAATTTTAGGTATGGCCCATCTTCCGTTCCCTAGGCACCGGATCGTTGGAAGGTGGCGCTGAATGAAACCATCTTTGCAGTGGTATCTAATCAAGGAGTTGATCTCATAACGAGGCTTCATCTTTCCAAAGGTCTTGGCATTTTCTACCACAGGGGGCTGGCCGCAAGCAACTAAGAGAGAGCGAACTGGGTTACTTCCAAATAATGTAACAACTGCAATCAATTCTCTCTGTCTCTGTGTCTCTCTGTCTGTATCTGTCTGTCTGACTATCTCTCTCCAAACCCCATGTACCGTCCATCATAAAAGCCATCATCCAGATTTAAGAAGTAGTTCCAAAAAAACTTTAGTGGAAGCTCTGGGCCTCATTTGAATTTCGGGTTATATGTGCTTGAAGTATATTTTATTGAAAATCACAGGACTGAATGGTCACACAGTCATATATAGCTTTTTGGCTGGGTTACTTTTCTGAAAATTTTCCCAATTGAAAAGCACCTGTCTCACGCCAACAAGTGATCCACTGGTTTTGTCCTTACGGCCATTCCCCAAGCTGTATCTGTCACCTTCTTTCATGTGGGATGAAAACGGATTTATAACTAGTAACTATTACTATCACTTTCCTGTAAAAACTTACAGTCTATAACAATACCATCGTGCTTACAGACAGACGCGTGTACACCCCCGAATATAAGTAAAACACGGTCAGGTGCACTTTGCTTTTTGCTCTCTTCCATCTTATGTCTGGGACAGAGAAGAGAATGAATCATATCCACACATCAGTTTTGCCACTATCTTAATGCAATTTAAATGCTTGAGAGGAGTAAGTACGCATAAAACTTGACCTCTTAGCTATCATTTTTAAAGTGCAATGAAAGATTCCCATTATCCACAAGCTTAGCAATTAATAATAATAATAATAATAATAATAATAATGAAAGATGCAGGAATAAAAGAACCCTCTCTATTTTGAAATTCAAGGAACTGGGAAAAGTAATTCACCCAAATTTATATTAACATAGTTTTATGCAACATTAGTGCATTTCTTTTACATTATATTTTAAAAACCATCTAGAAATTATTGTGTTTTGCTATGCATTTCCAATGGAAGAGCAGCCACTTGGATATAATTCTCCCTAAGGGCATTTTCTGCTTAGACACCACTCACCCACAAGAACATAACATATCTCACAAAAAAATGAAAAACTTCAGTGAAAGAAAAGTTACCAGAAAACTTGGTACCAAAATGTTTTCACGTCAAAACTCTAATACCAACAGATGGTAATTATTAAATTTCCCCTCATTTTCTGAAGGCTGTCTACAAACATATTCTTTTATGAGGACAAATTTGAGTTTCACTTAACTATTTCATTCCCTAATTTTCCTTTGCTTAATCTTGATATAGTTTGCTTGACTGCAAACTACTTTTATTGTACTGTGAACAAAAATACAGTGTGTTTCTAAATCAACAGTATCTTTATTAAATTAAGAGACACATTGCCTTCTACCCCCTTCAAAATCTCCTCCCTTCCTTCAAGACACTCAACCTAACATTCTTGCATTTTCAGAAGCAGTTGGAAGTCGTCTTCCAAGAGCATCACTTGTTGCACTGCTGGGTCTACCTCAGTCCTCCATCGGTTCAAAACACTTAATTTTCCTGGTCATTTTCACTTTAGGAAAGAGTCAGAGGCCGCGCAATGCCAGCTCTGGTGGGTAAGGTAGATGAAAGTGCATTACCAGCCTGTCTTTCTGCTGAGTGGCACCCAGCAGCAGGATCACTGTATTTTGGGTCAGATCTCATAAAGACCCACATGAAAAAGAATGTTCAGAACTGCTTCACAAAGTGAAGAATGATGAGGCAAAAGCATATGAACTGAAGGGGACTGAGGCAACTTAACGGCAGTGTGTCTTATTATACTAATTTTTAATTGAAACATCCACCATATTTTTCAGTCACTCCTTGTATTAGGTAGCATCACATGGAATGAGACCAAGGTCATATAAGTGAATTAAAAATGCTAAGTTGAATCCATTTTAGGGCAGTCTGCACTGTACTGACAAAAGAGAACTTGTTTTTAATGACTGTGAGAGAACAACTGTACTTCTTCCAAAACTATTTTTATGTAAAGACTATAAAAAGCCAAAATGGTGTGGTGAGTGTGTTAGAGGCAACGACAGGAAGACAGACTGGAAACAGATCCACACATACTTGCTTCATAGTTGACAAGAACACGGCAATGCAAGCAGAAGGTAGAATTAAAACTGGGACAACTTGGTACCTCCGGGAAGACATAGAAGTTCAGTTATAGATGGTTTAAACATATAAATTTAAACGCAAAATTATAAAGTACTTAGAAAGGACAGGCTTCTTTATGACTTTAGGTATTATAGATTTCTTAAGATACATGAAAGTTTAAGCCATAAAGGCATATTCAATAAAGTTAAGAATTCTATTCATCAAAAAATTCTACAAGGTAAGGTTCCATCACCCTGCAAAGGGGGAGAAGGTATTTGCAGCTATGTAATTGCCAAGGAATTATAAAGTATTTTTAAACTCTAGCAAATCAGTATGTAAAAGATATATAAACAAATTTCAAAAATAAACAAAAGAAGCTACCAAAAAAGCAAAAGATCTTTCCATGTCTGATAAATATAAGACAAAATAATCAATAAAATGAAAATTAAGTAACAACATATAACATTTTATACCCATCAGATTGGCAGACATGTCCAAGTCCTCTAATATCAAAAGCTGGAGAAGATATAGAGAAACACGTGGCGGGTGGGTGTGCCAACTGCTGTAACCGCTTATGGAAAGTCATCCGGCATTTTCTGGTAAATTCGAAGGTGCGTACATCCCAAGAGACTACGCAACTTCACTCCTGGACATGTGACCTCAGAGTCTCACAAACACCTACCAAGAACAGGCTGGAGAATATTCAGGCAATATTGCTTAGCACAGTAAAAACATTGCCTATAACCCAAATGTCCACAGAGAGCAGAACTGGTAAAGAAAACACAGCAGAGTTGAGCAATGAAGCTCTATACAGCAGCAAAAACACAAAACGCATGGCTACAATAATCAGCAGAGAGACCGTGCACAAGCAGAAGGCTGAACCACAAAAGAGTGCGGTAGGGAGTATGTAAGCATCACTCCACTTACGTCAAGTCCAGATATCTGCAAAATTCAACAATTTGTTGTTTGGGGATGCAAGCACATACTTTATTACTAATGGGAAAAGCAAGGACATAAGGTCATTATCTCTCTCAGGAACTGTGGAGTAAATAAATGGTATCAGAAAGAGCCCACAAGGCACTCCAAAGAGACAGGACAGCAGGTAATGTGGCTTTCTTCTTTTAAAAATGTATTTGTCTATATATTATCCTTTGTAATTATTTAATAGTTAAAAGGAGAGCCACTTGCATCTGTCTAAAGTGATGAAGAGAAAGGGTTCTCTTTTATTAAACAAATGAACATTTATAAAAATCTCCAGAGGGTTGATAAGGAAATAATAAATGCTGCTTAAACACATCAATTGTACAGTTGTCCTATTTATTTACTACACATAAATAAAAACTCAGGCAGCAGGGAGAGAAAATGAAAACAATTTTCCTCCCACGTGGACTAGAGCCAGTGCTTTATAAAACCCACTCCCCCCACCCCACCCCGGTAGTGCTGCTCTTGGGACTCTTTCTGGCTGCAGTGCAGGGGTCCTGGACCAGGAGGAATTTCGAGGTCCCTCAGCTTATCCCTTTGCTGGAGACCTGTGGCCAAGCTTAGATGCTTGGGGGATTCCATCATGGTGCACAGGGATGAGGACTGGGGGTGTAGCTATTGACATTCAGCACACAGAAACGGGGACTGAGTTCAACATTCTCCAGTGCACTGCACGTAAAAAAATGTCTGAGCCAGGCCCAGAGGTGCACACTTGTAATCCCAGCACTCGAGGCTGAGGCAGGAGGAGCACAAGTTCAAGCCCAACCTGGGAAACTGAGTGACCTTATGAGACATTGTCTCAAAACTTAAAAATTTAAAAAAACAAGGCGGTCTGGAGATTGAGCTCAGTGTAAAGGTCACGGGTTCACTCCCAAGGACCATCAAGAAGCAAACAAAAAAGTTGTTTCCCTCATAATGTCAACAGCACTGTTGTTGAGAAACTGTCAGAGCAGAAAATAAAGTAGGAAATGTAAGTTTTTGGACCATAAAATGACAAGGCATGACTCCAGCAACCATTTGGAGAAGCACAGAGGCAAATGTGACTTTGGAGGGAGATAAACAGGTAATTAAACACTCGACTCACTGCAGTGGCAAAGGGAGAGCAGCAAATGTTGGATCTGTTATTTTTAGGAGTTCGTGACAGGCGGTGAAGCACAGGGCCAGGACCGCTTGGGAGGGCAGTACCTCGGGGCAGGGAGCAGCAGAAAAGACTTGGTGTCCTCGGAAAAGACAGCTTGGGCATCTTTGTGTTCCCTTTCTTCTAATGGAATTCACTGCTGATGTCTGAATCTTTCTTAAAATATGTACAGAACATGCCTCTTTAGTGTTATCATTTTTACATTCAAAGACAACTCAGGGAGGGTTTCCATCTGGCATTCACCTTCCATCCTCTAACTTGAGGTGAGTTAGCCTCAGCCTGGGGAGCAGACATCTACTATTACTATCAAAACAGGTCCTGGAAATGTGCACTAGATTTTCATTTGTTAAGAGTTTATAGAAATTCAAACACAACACATGTTTGAACAACCGCTTTTAGGATTTTTTTGTTCTGTTTCATGCATGGACCTTTCATGCAAGTGGATTTATCATATCTTGAAAGTATTCAACTACAGACACTTTAGTCCATAATTTAAAAGTATAAAACAATGATTAAAAAGCTGAGATGTTTACAGAGATCAGACAGCGTGTACCAGACAAGACTGAACGAACTAGGGTGCATGAACTAGAGACGGCAGACACTGGGAGCAGACAGTGGTTCCCACTGCCTCATACAATCCAGTGACACACTGGAGTGCGGCCAAATGACATTAGACTTCCTTATTTAAAAAACTCCAAAATCTAGATTATTTTAAGATACATCCCAATGTTTAACTGCTGGCAAGTATCTTTTTAATATTTCTCTCATTAAAATAAAGCCAGCAGCAGCTGTTTGTCTGGAAGATACTATCAAGCATTTTCTTACATTAATGCCACACTGCCCTCCTGAGTACCCAAAGCCTAAGGCCAGAATGGTACTAAATGCTATCTTCTGAACTGTGTTGAAGGGTGGTGTGTTCCAGATCACCGAGAAATAGCACACAGGGATGAAGTCTGACACCTCCACCTCCTGCTGAAATAATCGCGGGGCAGTAGCGGGTGACTGTTACCTGTGCCTTTCTTGCAGGTGTAGGTGAGATGGTAGTTGCAGGGGACGTCGTTCCACTGGCCGTTTTCGTGCCAAATGATGACCACGCAGTCTTCGCCAGCAGAAAAGAAACTATCTGGCTGGTTGGGTCTCCAGTTCTCATATTGCTGTGAAAACAGAGAGGGATGATAACTGCTTAATAGTCAGGTGACAGAGAGTGCTACAGTGATCTGCCAGGGGTGACCCCGCGATTTGGAGTGGACCACAGCGCTGAAATCGCCTTCACATTAAGGACTTCCAACTCCGCATAGAAAATAGCTGTGTCTGTATCTCAAAGTCTTTTTTCAATAAATACCTGATTTTGACAATGTGATGTCTTTGAGGAATTTTGGTCTAGTTTCCTAAATTGCTACATGTACAATACACCTTCAATTTAAGAAACCCATCACATTAACTGTAATAACATTTTTTGTTGTTGTACCAAGGATCAAACTCAAGACCTTGCACTTGCCCGGCAAGCGCTTGTGCCACTGAGTTAATCTCTGGCCCTTTAACTATAATAACATTAAAATGGAAGTAAAAATAGAGAAAAGTTCCAATCTTACGCTAATCTAACCTGCTTTCTTCTGGGATTTACATGTGCATACAGTATTTGGTTGGATCATAGTGCAGTAAAACTTTTAGCCTTTGTTCTTATCTCTCCCACTATAAAATACTTTCCTTGATCACGTATTTGGGTTAAAATATTGACATATCAATAATAAAGTCATATTTATCTGATGAACGTATGCTCACCTCCTTATATGCAATCTCTCAGAATTGCTCTGCTGTGGGCAATGTGCTTTCCATTCGTGCCACACGGCTGAGTTCTCCTCCTCCACGACCTAATCTAGAAGCTGTCTTCTCTTAGTGGGAACATTTACACATGTGTGCATACTGATACAAGGGTTGTGTTTTCAAACACTCATCTTATTATAATGTTTTTCTTCCTTGTGCTCTGCACTCAGACTACTGAAAAGGATTTTACTCTTCTGAGACGTTTCCACCAGTTACCTGTATGTCATGTCTTAGATGTGCCACTGACTTCCCATGCTAAACAAGGATGACCGGGAACAGCTCTGCTTCCTACCTAACATCATCCACCCCGATAATGGATGCAGGTCTCCTCTAGGTGCTTGCTGTGCATTGTGTATCTCACAATGATTTAGCACAACTGGAAAAAATGTGGAGCTTTGAGTTGCTGAGCACTGAAGACTCTGTTTCGAATTTCTTTCTTTTCTCTAAAGCATGCCTCCACAGCAATGCATAATTATATGAAAAACACTGTTTCTAGGCCTGTTCAAGAAAAACAAAGGTGGATTCGATAAAAATCATGCAGATCTCTAAGTGAGAGGCCAGCTCCTAGGTGGGGGCTTCATAACTAGAGTGTGTGACGGATGGATGAGTGTGTCCAATGTTTTTCACTCAGCTTGCGTGTCACTTTCCATACTGTCTTGCCTACTCCTGTGTCTCGTCACATCTGGCACCCACGGGACTCATGGTGGGAAACTTCCTCAGTGTGACAGTAGCTCAGATTCACATGTAAGTGACAACAGCTAAAATGACTGACTGAAAGTCCTTAACTTACATTCAAATCTGCCTAAGGTATAAAATGAGTAATGAGATTTTATTTGCAAATAACAAAGGCAGAGATGAAATAATCAAAGAATTTAGACAACTGTTTTAAATTCAAATCATATTAAATTTTTTTTTCTCTTTATGTACTCCCAACATGATACTGTGGTTATTTTTATGTCCTTTAAGATGCATGGTATGTCAGAATCATTTTATGTTTCATTTACCAAAGTATTTTATTTGGCTGTTTGTAGTATTTTCAGTAAAAAAAAAATTATTTTTGTATATTAATTTTCAATTCCTTGTACCATGCCAACTTCATGAAACATCCCTTTAGCCAAACAAGTTTCCTGTGATATCAAGCTTGTTTAAAATCAATAAAAATATAATTATTCTACTAGAGAATATTTTTATTCTCAGAAAAAAAATGTCTTTTAATTCCTTCAAACGTGTTAAACACCATGATCTTTGCTAAAAGTGGGGAAGACCTCAAGTTCGAAGGCTGCTTTTCTTCCCACCCCTTCGCTTAGCTTTGCTCTGAGGGTCTCCCCCATCACCGAGCGCCCCTGCCGCAGTAAGCAGAGTTCTGAGGAGGAATAAAACTGAAAGCACCCCGGGAAGTTAATGAAACACAGAATGGAGGGTGGTTTGACTTCTTTGGAGAAAACCTACTCCAGGAACGAGACGGACTGAAACTGCAGTCTGGAACCCTGGGTGGGACCACGGCAGTCCCTCCCTGCTGGCCCTTGGGGTGTGTGGGGCCACAGCCACCAAAGCACAGTGCCCAGAGGCTCCCTGGCTATCCAGTGACCGTTTCTCCAAACTGGCCTTCCAGTTCTTTCTCCGTTTCTCCTCTCTTTCCTTGGTTCCTTACTTCCCCTTCCTGATCATCCTTCACTCTTCAACCACAAAGACATGTTGTTTTTGAAACTACTTTGCTGGGTAACCCAATCAGGGGGTAAAAGTCAAGCTGTCCCTTGCAGACACATAACAAGATTTTTTTAACAAGATGAATTAAAGCAGAATAAAAATTTTAAAACTAACATATAAAAACTCATTCAAAGAACAAAAATCTACATGACGCGCGTTGCCCTCTTTCCTCAAGGACCATGACCATTGTGAAGGCAGATGGTTCTACGTCAGTAGAAAGCCTGAAATATATAATAGTGTTCAGGAAATTGTGAAAACAAAAAATTATAAAACCACATAGAAAAACAGCATAATCTTAAATGGAGTCATTACACAAATTATGAACCTGTGTACATATAGTACTTTGAGGAATAGGAGAAGATACTCATTGGACCCATCTCAGGATTTTTTCAAGGGAGAAGGTGTTTCTATTCCCAGTCTCTACTTCCTTAATTAAAAAATGAGTCCCAAATACAGACTAAAGGGGCATGCATTACCATAAAAGCCTGAATTTAGCTTAAGACAAACTTCCAGGAGAATTCTACTAGAAAATTCCAGCGAGACATGATGACACACACCTATAATCCCAGAACGCTGGGAAGCTGCAGAAGGAGGGATGAAAGTTTGAGACCAGCCTAGGTGACTTATCAAGACCTTGTTTCAAAATAAAAAAATGACTCTGGGCTTGGGCTGTAGCTCAGCGACAGGCCCTGGGTTTAATCCTCAGTACTACAAAAGAGGGCTGGCAGAGGAGCGGGGAAGAGGAAAGAGGAGGGAAAAAGAAGGGTAGGGGAGGAGGAAGGAAGATGGGAGGGAGAAGAAGCAGTAACTGTCTCCTTTGCACACTGGAATGAGACCGGGGTTCTGGGCCACTGAAGTGATTCTCAGGCTTTAAACTGTTCAGCCTCTTGCAGAAGATTTAATTGTTGTTGCTAGGAATTACACATGGCTTGTGGCAATCATGTGGGGTTCCTGTTGTTGCATGGTGGAGCTCGGTGGAAGGGCGCAGGGCTGAACGTTAGCCCCGAGGTGTCTGGACAACCGTCTGATACCCCCAGGACCAGCGTGCTATTGCCTCACTGTGTGGATTTATCTTGGCTGAGACACGGTGATTTTGTTCCATATTATTGCCAAACTGACTCAGAAAGTTTGCTGAACAACTTTCTTTGTTTCCTCTATAATTCTTTTACTTATGGGGAGACAGAGTACAAAAATAAATCTTTGACTTTAGGTTTCACAATGTGTTTTTTCTCTGAAGTTAGATATTAGGAAGAAATCCCTCCTTAGGAAATTAATCTGGGCTGCAGAAATATAATAGAACCTCTCTCACATGTGATGTCTCTTATGTCCAGAAATATAGACTCTTGGAATGAGCAGGAAAACTCTCAGCAAAGCTCTTCTTCCTAACTTGGGATACTGAGCCCAAATTCTGGTGATCCATTCTACACTGTCCCATTTCTAGCGAGGATAGGCAAACCGGGAATCAGCCCTACAAGTTGCCATAGGTCAGGAAAAGTCATTTTAATGCCTTTGACAAAAATAAATGTTGGTTATGCCTCTGCATGTCTGTGTCTCGGCTATTCATGATTCCCTCTCCCAACCCCAAACTCCTGGAGCCTCCCCAGGGGCCACAATAACCGTAGCCTGACCCATAAGAACTGGATCTTCTGAGAGAGAGCCCTAAATTACTTTGTGCTTTCATTCTCTTATGATAGCAAGGAAAATTATGACATGGAGGAAAAATAATGACTAAGAGACTTATATATATATATATATATATATATATATATACACACACACACACACACACACACACACACACACACACACACATATATATATAGTACTACCAATTCTCCAAGATGAATGTAATTATATCACAAACATACACTAAAAAAGAAACTAAAGAACTCAGGTAGCTGTTATAAAGGGTCTAAAATTTTCTTATTTATTAGATGATCATATTACATCCCATATGAAACTGCTGAATACTATACATTACATGATAAAAACAATTTTAAGTTTCCATTTAAATGATTGGATCTATGTGTTTAAAATGCCACTTCAATTAAATTGAATACAGTCACTTTTCAATTATTGTTCTCCACTTCCCCCAAATGGATTCAAACAAATCAACTGCCAAAATAATCAAGTGATTTTTCAAAACCTGTATATGTGCCACACCTCACTGAGATCAATGTAATCACTATGCACTAATAGCAATATACAGCACTAATAAAAATAAACATAGTAATTCCTTGGGGAAAAAGTGTGGTTCTTTCACATAAAAATTGCCTCCATGTACTGATGGTCAGTCATCTCATGGCTGACCAGTCCAAAACACTGGGCAGAAAAACTCAAAGCAGACTGAAGGTATTCATCCATGTCTATCCAAACTACAAATGCTTGAATGATTTTTCCAAATAATCTCTAGTGTCAAGAACAGATCTCTGACTCACATTAATGTAGAAAAAGACACTCATCCTGGAGGTCTGCCAAAGGCTTCCTAGACTGCCTACAACAGCAGCCCTTGGACCACGACCTCAGCCCCTTGAGGACTGGACTGAGAACGGTGGGACAGTGACTCCCTGTTCCTCTTCTCCGCAATTTTTCCACCTGGTTTAGTCAACATACCGAGCGTGGG